GGAGGAGGTTCTGAGCTGCCCCTGACGGAAACCTCTCGTCTGCCTGTTCTTGCAGGACCAGCTGAAGCAGTGTTTCACCAGGAGGTCCCCCGAAGCCAAGGACACCGACACCCTCGTGCAGGAAGCCAACAGCCAGTATGGGACGTGGACGGACCAGCGCCCCAGCGGGGAGAGGTAGGCTCCCTTGACAGGCCTGCTGGGGGCGGGGCCTGCTGGGGGCGGGGCCTGATGGGGGCGGGGTCTGATGGGGGCGGGGCTGCACCACAAACCTGCCTGGAATCTGAGGGTTTCCCCACAAGGCCGTCGTAGGTCCTTGGAAATGACATAAACATAAAGTTTCAATAACTTAATCACGTCATTTCGTCATTTCATGCAATCGGAGGCATTTTGCTTTCCTCATCAAAGTCATAATGAAGCTATGGCGTCCGTAACAGTAGAATCAGCCACTCTTGCTGCAAAAGTTTAGAAAGCACCGAAAAATGATAAAGAAAAGGACACATGAACTATCCAGGCCGGGCAATCCCACGGAGACAGGACGTGGAGTGTGTGTGTGTGTCGGGGGGTGTCGGTTTTCTCGCGGGGCCTGGAGATGCTCTGGAGTGACGTCTTGGTGATGGACGTGCACCATCGGAGTCTACTAAGCGCTCCCAGTATAAGTTTAGTGTTACGCTCATTTTACCAGCAAATGAAAACCACCTGTGGTTCCAGCACAAGACCTAATTCATTTTTTGTTACTGTGCCTTTCTAGGCTTTGAAGATGCATCTGTGCATGCATTTACAAACTTAGGGACATGCTGTAGACTCCGCTCTGTCAGCTGTGTTTATATTTAGTATTAATGGCCTGTAGGGCCCTCATTTGTCAGCCTGCTGGAAGGGAATTTGCGAGGCAGGCACGTGCCTGAAGTTGCGTGTGGGAGGGTGGCGGGGATCCTGGAGGCGGGCAGGTCTGGGTCCCCGCCCCATTCTTGCTGGCTGTGGGGCCTGGGGTGTGTCAGTTATACTCTCCGGATGTAATGTTGCTCCTCTGAGGGAGGGAGTGCACATACAATGACAGCCTGTGTGTCCATCACATGCGCTGAGCACGTAAACAGGTTAAACAGGTTAAAATTTAGGCCTGTTACTCACCCAACCCCATAGCAGGTGAAGACCCGAGGAAGACCACATGGGTTTGGGAGGTAACCTGTGCAGCAATGAATGTAGTTTTTGGCACAAAGTCGGGACTTTATGCCTCATTCTGTCCACCGCTGTCCACCGCCTCTCTTGGGTGGGAGGGATGGGGCCCAGTGGGTGGACCCGCCAGGCTTTCAGCTCAGGGACTGCGGGAGCACATGGTCTTGGCACACTCGACGTGGGTTCCATTCCACATGGCCACTTACCAGCTGTGTCGTGACTCAGTTTACTCGTCTGAGGGTATCATGCCCAGGGGTACAATGTGAATGTGATTGAAGTGAGCTCAGCCCAGCTCCCCCTGTCCATCTTGCACCCCTACTGGAATGTGTCCTGTGGCAGTCTCTGTTGGAGGGTAAAGTGGGAATTGGTAGAATTGGAAGTGGGTAAAAGAAAAAGCCGAGCAAACTGTAGAGCACCCACAGCTTGTTTTTTCCCTAAACTGTGATATGTGTTTAGTGAACCCAAGCTTACCACAAGAGCAAGGGTGTCGATTTTACCTATCACTCTGCGGGGCCCTGGGATGGCCCCTCCTCTCTGGGAATTCCTACAGAATTCTCCTACTCAGAGCAGGGTGGGAGAGGCCTCTGGGACCCGAGCCCTCCCCTGCCAGGGCGCCGCCTGGTGTCTCCCACCGGCACTGCAGCGCCGCTCAGGCCATCCCAGAGGCCTCTGTGCGCCCGCCCTGGGCAGCGGCGCCATCTGCTGCCTCCTGAGTGGAATTTCCCTCATTTCTTGTCGATGAGGCCCCATCCCACACCACGCGCCAATATCCTGCTCTTTCCAAGCGCTAAATCATTTGAGAGCAGACTTAAAGCTTGGTAGTGCACACAGGTGCACCTGTGTGGAAGGTTGTACAGGGCGGGGGACCTCAGAGCACCCCCTGGGGGATGGTGTCTGGGGTGCCCACTGCCTTCCCAGGGTAGGGCCCCTAGGCCCCGGGCACTTTGCTGTCCTACTTGACTTTGGAATCTGTGTGGGTTTTTTTTTGGGCGGGGGGGGGGGGGGGGGGGGGGAGGGAGTGGATGGGAACAAGCTCCTAATTTAATGACTTGTTTTACTTGTAATTTCTCAACCTGATGTTCTTCCCATATTCAAGTGATGGTAGTGGGGAGAAATTCTAGAAATCAAAAAGGTTCCAAGACATGGATTTTGGAGTTGGTTCTGACCCTTTGGGCCAGGCACTTCATACCGCTGTGCCTCAGTTTCCTCCTCTTTCGCGAGGTCAACATTGAACTTCATGATGCTAATCAGCCCTACCTTGTAGACTTGTGGGGACTTATAGGGTCACAGGATAATCCTCAGAGGAGTGTGGACAGTTTTAAGCAACAGTTTTTCTCAGGGCATCTGGCACGTAGTCAGTGTCTGGGAAAGTTTAACTGACGAGGGTTCATGGATGGCTGGTGTCCCCTCGCACTCTGCTGGGAATTACTCGATGTACCTCAGCGCAGCCTCACGGAGATGTACTGCTCGCTGCAAATTTGGGGCATGTAAATTAAAATGTCTCAGTAGCCACACCAAAAGAGTAGACAGCAAGTGATTAAATTAATTTTAACAATTTAAATGGAACCGTTATCAAACCCTAGAGACCCAACATTGGTCACTTCAACATATAGTTGCTATAAAAAGTTAACAAGACATTTTACAGTCTTCTTGCACTCAATGTGTTGGCAATCCAGGGTGTACGTCATCCTCACGCGCTCCTCAGTGCTTCCTCGCCACCATGTAAGGGCCCAAGAGCCACAAGTGACCAGCGACTCCTGTTCTGAACAGCTCGGGGTTAGAGGGTCTGGCGAGGCTCAGGACTGGCGCCTCCCAGCCCACACCTGTCCAGGTGCGCCAGAGGCGCCAAGGCCGGCACACCTTGTGCCCCGAGGGCTTCTCTGGCTGTGGTGTCGTCTCTCGCTCCCTGGCTTATAGAGCACGCCCCGCCCCTGCTTTCTGCGGCCTCCCTTAGTCGAAGTCCACTTCCCTAAAAGCACCTGCACGACCTCCCTTTCTCGCAGCGTGGCCGCCGAGTCCCCATCCCCGGACAGCAGTGCTGCTTCGGCGCGGAAACAGCCCCTCAGCAGCCGCTTGTCCTCACTGTCCTCCCAAACGGAGCCCACCTCGGTGGGGGACCCCCACGACTGCTCGAGGCACCAGCGGAGCACCAGTGTGGACCGCTCTAGCACTGACCTGGAGTCCACTGACGGGACGGACGGGCCCCCGCGGGACGCCGGCTCTGTGACGAAGCTGGACGACTTCTCCTTCATCGATGTAAGTCGGTAGCTGGGAGCAGCCAGTTCTTCCCCCAGGGTCATGTTAGTTTGTGCTGGGGAATTGCCCCTTTCAGGGGTAGAATCTGTGTGTGGGGGGGTGGCGTCATGGTGGGGGCAGAGGGCACAGCCTTCTATACGGGGCTGATGCCTGCGGGTAGCTTGGGCCTGCCATGTGCCAGCTGTGTGCCTTGAGCAAATGTTTTCACCTCTCTGAGCCTCGGTTTTTCATCACTGGTAGTCAGCACCGCGGGCTTCGCAGCGTCAGATACAATCACGCGTTCAAATTAAAGTTTATTTGAGCCTGAGCCCACCTGTCAGGGAAGCTGAAGTCTGCCCTTAGCCTGGAGGCTCTGCCTGTGGCTTGTGATTCCAGGCGTGCACAGTCTGGAGTTTGCACAGACTAATTCTGCGGGTGTTATGAGTCTCGCCCAGCGTCCAAGTCCCTCTGAAAATGGGCTATGATGGTTCCAGGAAGGGGCGCCCCCTTGGGTGTGGGCAGCTGGCCTTCTGGGTCCCGCACGGCTCCTGCTTTAGCCTGTCCTTCCCCAGCACCCAGGGCTCAGGCAGATTTTCCTTTTAACCCCTTGACACATGGGAACGTTGTTTTTTCCCTCCTTGACAATAAAGTTTGCTCCTGAGGATGCAACATCTAATCGGACCTCCTCTCCCAGTGGTGAATTCTTGGGTGCTCTCTCTTAGGGATGGCTTCCCTCAGATTCCCACCCCCTAACACACAGAGGGACTGCACTGTTTTGGGAAGCAGTTCCCTCTAGCAGTTCACAGGAGATTTCTTGTCCCCAAGTATGGTCAAGGCCACGCGCTTGCACCTCTGGATAAGCACAGAATGGGGAGTGAGCCAAGTTCAGTGGCCATTGTGACACCCCAGTGCAGAAACATGAACCGGAATGCCCACTTCTCCAATTGGATTGCGAGGCAATGTATTCAGTTATTCATTCAACCAACACATTGCCTCAGCTTCCGTGCTCATGATGTCACTGCATCGGCGTGCAACTCACTGGATGTGCCTTCCTGGCGCGAGGCAGCGCCTTCTCGGTGCCCGGTGTACACAACAGCAGCAGTCCACAGCCACTGTCCCCGAGCCTTGGCCCTGACCCACGGGCATGCTCATCAACTCAGAGGCAAAGATTCCTGCCCCACTTTGTAGAGTAGGGAAATGATGGGGCTCCCAGTGGCTCAAACGCAAGTTTCCCTAAGCATAGGTTCAGCTGCTTATTGAGCGCTTGCTGAGGTTTATGGGTGATGCCTAGCGATTTAGATCTCCCCGGGAGGCTGGTTAGAGGCTGAAAGAGGAGGTAAGACACTGAGGAATCATGCCATTGGCCCATCACTGACCCTCCCCCTGCCTGTGCTCCGTGCTTGGTGCTTAGCGCACAACTGTGCCCCCTCCCACCTGCACGGCCTTGTAGAGGAACCACCCTGAGCCCCTCAGTTCAGGGACTCTGTGTGAGGGTTGAATGGGAGGGTGTTTTCAGTTATTCATTCAGCAAACCTCTGTTGACTTCCTTATGCACCTGGCATTACTCTAGCTCACAATGCTGGGAGAGGGCATTTCCGCGGTGCCCACCACGTGCCAGGCACTGTGCTAGCACAGTCAAGGCTACTGGATTTGGGGATCATTGTATGTGGTAATTTCATTGAGGCTTAGGGTGTTGAGGCCACTAGTAAAATGCAGGAACAGCACCCCCTGTACCACCTAAATAGTGTCTCCTGGGGTGGGGCCTCAATTAATGGTTCCATGTCTTTTCCCCTTTTTCCCCCAAAGCAAACCTCAGTCCTCGACTCAAGTGTCCTCAAAACCCGGGTGCAGCTCAGCAAGAGAAACCGCCGCCGGGCCCCCATCGCTCTCCGGCGCAGCCGCACCATCGACGTGGAGAGCAGGTCTCCCTCAGAGGAGGCCGACAGCGTGTGGATGTTCAAAGACTCAACGGGTAAGCCTCTGCGCACACCCACGGGCGGGTGCGGACCGCGCCGGGCAGGCCCTCCTGTGTCTGCGAACTCTAGGACGTTCAAACACACTGACAGGGGGAGCTGATTTCTTATGCTATAGAGCTTATTAAAAAGAAGGTAATGTTTTTTGATAGATATATTCACTGGGGGTCTTCGTGTTAGAAGTAGAGAGACACAACTTAATAGGACCTCACATTTCTCCTTTTGTCTTTACTAAATCCATCTTCTACTCCCTTTAGGCTTGTTTGATTGTCTTTTCTATTTTTTTGAAAAATATTTATTTATTTATGCTTACAGAACTGGGGTACAGGCCAGAGGCGTGGGGGTGGGGGTGGTGAGAGGTCTCACCAGAGACAGAGTGGGGAACAGAACAGGCAGATAAACTGAAATACACTGCTGAGGGAAGCAGCGGGCGGGTCAGGAGAGGTCTGCCGCACCAGAGGGTCACCTCCCTGGCCAGGGATCGAACTTGTGCTGCAGTGGCTTTGGAGAGCTTCATATTGCTGTGCTTTAATCTGTTGCCTCACCAGAGAGGGTCCCTTTTCCTATTTTTTAAAAGGTTTATTTTTGGCCCTCCCTGGTGGCGCAGCGGGTTAAAGCACTGCATTAAGAAGCTAAAAGCCACTTCTGCATGAGTTAGATCCCCGCCTGCCGGGGAGGTGACCACATGGCGCGGCAGACCTCTCCTGACCCGACCACTGCACCCCTCAGCAGTGTACTTCGTCAGTCTGCCTGTTCTGCTCCCAGCTCTGTCTTTGGTGAATCCTCTCACCCTTCGCATCTCTGGCCTGTACCCCAATTCTATATGAATAAATAAATCTTTAAAAAAAAAGATTTTTATTCATTTATGCATAGAGGAGCTGTACAGGCCAGAAGTGTGGGGAGTGAGAGGATTCACCAGAGACAGAGTGGGGAGCAGAACAGACAAATATACTGAAATACACTGTTGTGGGTGAGACAGGAGAGGGCTGCTGCACCATGGGGGCATTGAACTCACACAGTAGCTGGTGATCATGTGATAGCGCTGTGTCTTTAACCTCCATGCAACCAGGGAGGCCCAGCTGGTCTTTTCTAGATCTTCAAGTTGAAAGATCAGTTCATTTCATTTCAGTCTCAGTAATACTGAGTTTCTTTGAGACGATGTATTTTTCTCTGGAGACTTCTTTGGCTGACCTCCGTATCAAAACCTGCATGAGGCTCCCAGGTGGCCTAGTGACTAGGGTTGGTGCTTTCGAAATCTGGGTGACATCTTAAAGAGCAGATGGGAATTAGCCAGGGAGGGGCATCCCAGACAGAAATTTCACAAGATCAAAGGGGCAGAGGTGTGGAAAGAACATTGGGCAAAAGCCCAATCCTGCAGATTCTGTGGTAAGGAGCAAGACTATGTCTGGATGGACAGCTATGGAAGTTTTAAGAATCTTCTTGTTCTCATAGAGGGCCACCCCACTCTACACATTCGTACACATTAGCTCCCCCAAAGTTGTCGCAGGTGCATCTGGGACTTGCTAACGGAACAGCAGGACCTCAGACCCAGCTCAGCTGGGTGAGGAGAACAGCTTCTGCCCAGAGACCGTGCGCAAATGTTTGGCACCTGTCTCTCCTTCCCCCATCCTTTAGGGATGTGAGTCACACAGGAATAGTTAGACGCAAACGAGGCTTCTCTCTGAAACACTTTCTTGGTTTTTTGAGCCAAATCCCACCCAGCAGCCAAGAGCAACTAAAGACCAGCTTGGGGAGAAAGGCACAGGGACACTCTCCCCTGGAGCATGGGGCTCCCATCAGCCTTGAGGAAGGACGTGGACAAGGCCCAGGCCCAGGGTCTGCCCAGAGAGCCCCCAGCAGCCTACCAGAGCACCGGGAGCCTCCTTCCTCCTGTGCCCAAACCTGAATCTGGGGTTCCGGGAGGTTGGAAAGCCTCAACCCTCATCCTTGACAACTGGGAACTGACAGCTGACTGCCCAGTAAGAGTCTCTTGTTTGGGGGTTCAGTTCACCTATGAGGCCAGAGCCTGCCAATAGGATTAAGTCCTGGGAAGAGGGGATCAGGGCAAGGGAAAGTGGCTTCATGGCCAACTCTGGGTGGCTCTTCCCCTAGAGGCACAGAGTTCTCCGGCTCTCTTCTAAGGGCGCCCCCAGCATGGTGGCAGCTGAAAGCATTTCTCTCTCCTTGGCTCTGCCAGAGTCTCTTCCTTTCTCTGACTTGATGAGCCGGGAGCCCAGAGGGGCGTCTCTCCCAGGAGAGAAAGCCCGTCCTGACTCATGGCCACATCTTCCATCAGTGGCAGTTCTGAGGAGCGTGAGGCAAGCACCTGAGTTCTGCCTGTCAAAGGGGCTTCTGTGCAGGGGTGAGGCCCGCACAGGGGCTGGTGCAGGTGCCTGGCCCACGACTTCAGTGCCCTTTTCTTTGCCGCAGAAGAGAAATCCCCCCGGAGGGACGAGTCTGACGAGGAGGAGAAGCCCCCCCGAGCCGAGAGGACACCGGGCAGCCACCCTCAGAGGATGCCCATGTTCCCAGGACTGGACCCGGCCGTGCTAAAGGTGCTGCATCGGCCGGAGAGGCCCTGAGCCCGGCAGTCACGGGGCTCTTGCCCACCTTCGGCCCTGCCCTCTGCCTCCCGCCCTCCTGCCCTCCCATTTTTCCTCCTTCTTATTTTTTTTTTAAGACTTATTTATTTATTCATACAGAACTGGGGTACAGGCCAGAGATGCGGAAGGTGAGAGGATTCACCAGAGACAGAGTGGGGAGCAGAATAGGCAGATCGACGAAATACACCACTGAGGGGAGCGGTGGGCGGGTCAGGAGAGGTCTGCCGCGCCATGTGGATCTCCTCCGGGGCAGGCAGGAATCAAACTCATGCTCGAACTCATGCGGAAGTGGCTTAAGCTTCTTAGTGCTGTACTTTAACCTGCTGCACCACCAGGGAGGGCCCCTCCTCCCTCTTATTTTTGGAAATAGTTTAGGAGTTGCAAGAAGTCGCAAAACTAGCACAGGGCATCACCTGCGCCCTGCAGAGGCTGTGCCTCGTGACTGCCCCCCGTCATCAGAACCAGGAGCGGGGCAATGCTCTGAGCCACGCCACCAGCTTAGTTGGATTTCACCTTGACCCCGCGTTTCTT